TTCCGGACCCGCTAGAGCAAATGACTATCATGGGCTATTAGAACACGTTGAGTTGACCGGATATCAGTGAAAAATTTTGGGCATAAGCGATTTTGAAAAATGTCAGGAGTTGATCGAATTCTGATCGAAGTGCGGATGGGGGTGGTCCGGACCCCCCTGGGGGAAACGGCCTGGTGGGATGTTTAGAACATGTTAAATAAACACCATTTGCACAAAAAAATTTTGGGCGTAGCCAATTATTTTTACATATAATTTTTTTAGTCAGAACGCCATGTAACCCACCCTAATCCTAAAAAGTATGTTCGGGACCCCCCTCGAGCGACGGACTATCATGACTATTTAGAACACGTTAAGTTGACTGGATATCAGTGAAAAAATTTTGGGCATAACGCGATTTTGATAAATGACAGGTGTTCGATCGAATTCTGATCGAAGTGAGGATGAGGGTGGTCCGGACCCCCCTGGGGGAAACGGCTTGGTGGGATGTTAGAACATGTTAAATAAACGCAATTGGCACACAAAAAATTTTTGTCGTAAGCCAATTTTTCTTAAATATATTTTTTTTAGTCCAGAACGCCATGTAAACCCAGCCTAACTAACCCTAACAAAGTATGTTCCGGACCCCGCTCGGGCTTACGACTATCATGGGCTATTAGAACACGTTATGTTGACCGGATGTCAGTGAAAAAATTTTGGGCGTATGCCAATTTTTTTGAAATACAATTTTTTAGTCAGAACGCCATGTAAACCACCCTAATCCTAAAAAAGTATGTTCCGAACCCCGCTCGAGCAAACGACTATCATGGGCTATTAGAACACGTTGAGTTGACCGGATATCAGTGAAAAAATTTTGGGCGTAAAGCGATTTTGAAAAATGACAGGAGTTTGATCGAATTCTGATCGAAGTGCGGATGGGGGTGTTCCGGCCCGCCTGGGGGAAACGGCTTGGTGGGATGTTAGAACATGTTAAATAGACACGATTCTCAAAAAAATTTTGTGCGGAAGCCAATTTAAATGAAATATAATTTTTTTAGTGAGAACGCCATATAAACCCACCCTAATCCTAAAAAAGTATGTTCCGAACCCCGCTCGAGCAAACGACTATCATGGGCTGTTAGAACACGTTGAGTTGACCGGATATCAGTGAAAAAATTTTGGCCGTAAAGCGATTTTGAAAAATGACAGGAGTTTGATCGAATTCTGATCGAAGTGCGGATGGTGGTGTTCGGACCCCCTGGGGGAAACGGCATGGTGGGATGTTAGAACATGTTAAATAAACGCCATTTGCATGAAAATTTTTGGGCGTAAGCCAATTATTTTTAAATATAATTTTTTAGTCAGAACGCCATGTAAACCCACTCTAACCCTAAAAAAGTATGTTCCGGACCCCGCTCGAGCGACCGACTGTCATGGGCTATTAGAACACGTTAAGTTGACCGGATATCAGTGAAAAAATTTTGGGCGTAAAGCGATTTTGAAAAATGACAGGTGTTTGATTGAATTCTGATCGGGGGTGTTCCGGCTCCGCCTGGGGGAAACGGCTGGTGGATGTTAGAACATGTTAAATAGACACGATTCTCACAAAAAAATTTTGTGCGGAAGCCAATTTTATTTAAAACATAATTTTTTTAGTTGAGAACGCCATATAAACCCACCCCTAACTCTAAACACGTATGGTTCCGGACCCCGCTCAAGCAAACGACTATCATGGGCTATTAGAACACGTTAAGTTGACCAGATTTCCGCGTAAAAATTTTGAGCGTAAGCCAATTTTTTGAAATATAGTTTTTTTTAGTCAGAACGCCATGTAAACACACCCTAACCCTAAAAAAGTATGTTTCCGGACCCCGCTCGAGCGAAGGACTATCATGGACTATTAGCTAACACGTTAAGTTGACCGGATATCAGTGAAAAAATTTTGGGCATAAAGCGATTATTTGATAAATGACAGGTGTTTGATTCGAATTCTGATCGAAGTGCGGATGAGGTGTTCCGGACCCCCCTGGGGGAAACGGCATGGTGGGATGTAGAACATGTTAAATAAACACCATTTGCACAAAAAAATTTTGGGCGTAAGCCAATTATTTTTAAATATAATTTTTTTAGTCAGAACGCCATGTAAACCCACCCTAATCCTAAAAAAAGTATGTTCCGGACCCCGCTAGAGCAAACGACTATCATGGGCTATTAGAACACGTTAAGTTGACCAGATATCTGCGAAAAATTTTGGGCGTAAGCCAATTTTTTTAAATATGTTTTTTTAGTCAGAACGCCATGTAAACCCACCCTAACCCTAAAAAGTATGTTCCGGACCCCGCTCGAGCGAAGGACTATCATGGACTATTAGAACACGTTAAGTTGACCGGATATCAGTGAAAAAATTTTGGGCATAAAGCGATTTTGATAAATGACAGGTGTTTGATCGAATTCTGATCGAAGTGCGGATAGGGTGTTCCGGACCCCCTGGGAGAAACGGCATGGTGGGATGTTAGAACATGTTAAATAAACACCATGTGCACAAAAAATTTTTGGGCGTAAGCCAATTATTTTTAAATATAATTTTGTCAGTCAGAACGCCATGTAAACCCACCCTAACCTAAAAAAGTATATTCCGGACCCCGCTCGAGCGACCGACTGTCATGGGCTATCAGAACACGTTACTTTGACCGGATATCAGTGAAAAATTTTGGGCGTAAAGCGATTTTGATAAATGACAGGTGTTTGATCGAGTTCTGATAGAAGTGAGGATCGGGGTGTTCCGGCCCCTCCTGGGGGAAACGGCTTGGTGGGATGTTAGAACATGTAAATAAACACGATTTGCACAAAAAATGTTTGGGCTTGAGCCATTTTTTTGAAATATAATTTTTTAGTCAGAACGCCATGTAAACCCACAATAATCCTAAAAAAGTATATTCCGGACCCCGCTAGAGCAAACGACTATCATGGTCTATTAGAACACTTGAGTTTACGGGATATCAGTGAAAAATTTTGAGCATAAAGCGATTTTGAAAAATGACAGGTGTTTGATCGAAGTGCGGATGAGGGTGTTCCGGACCCCCCTTGGAGAAACGGCTTGGTGGGATGTTAGAACATGTTAAATAAACACGATTGGCACAAAAAAATTTTGGTCGTAAGCCAATTTTTTTTAAATATAGTTTTTTAGTCAGAACGCCATGTACAACCCACCCTAACCCTAAAAAAGTATGATTCGGACCCCGCTCGAGCAAACAACTATCATGAGCTATTAGAACACGTTAAGTTGACCAGATATCCGCGAAAAAATTTTGAGCGTTAGCCAATTTTTTTGAAACATATAGTTTTTTTAGTCAGAACGCCATGTAAACCCCCCTAACCCTAAAAAAGTATATTCCGGACCCCGCTCGAGCGCCGACTGTCATGGGCTATCAGAACACGTTACTTTGACCGGATATCAGTGAAAAAATTTTGGGCGTAAAGCGATTTTGATAAATGACAGGTGTTTGATCGAGTTCTGATAGAAGTGAGGATCGGGGTGTTCCGGCCCTCCTGGGGAAACGGCTTGGTGGGATGTTAGAACATGTTAAATAAACACGATTTGCACAAAAAATGTTTGGGCTTGAGCCATTTTTTTGAAATATAATTTTTTTAGTCAGAACGCCATGTAAACCCACAATAATCCTAAAAAGTATATTCCGGACCCCGCTAGAGCAAACGACTATCATGGTCTATTAGAACACTTGAGTTTACGGGATATCAGTGAAAAAATTTTGAGCATAAAGCGATTTTGAAAAATGACAGGTGTTTGATCGAAGTGCGGATGAGGGTGTTCCGGACCCCCCTTGGAGAACGGCTTGGTGGGATGTTAGAACATGTTAAATAAACACGATTGGCACAAAAAAATTTTGGTCGTAAGCCAATTTTTTTTAAATATAGTTTTTTTAGTCAGAACGCCATGTACACCCACCCTAACCCTAAAAAAGTATGATTCGGACCCCGCTCGAGCAAACAACTATCATGAGCTATTAGAACACGTTAAGTTGACCAGATATCCGCGAAAAAATTTTGAGCGTTAGCCTTTTTTGAAACATAGTTTTTTTAGTCAGAACGCCATGTAAACCCACCCTAACCCTAAAAAAGTATTCCGGACCCCGCTCGAGCGACCGACTGTCATGGGCTATCAGAACACGTTACTTTGACCGGATATCAGTGAAAAAATTTTGGGCGTAAAGCGATTTTGATAAATGACAGGTGTTTGATCGAGTTCTGATAGAAGTGAGGATCGGGGTGTTCCGGCCCCTCCTGGGGGAAACGGCTTGGTGGGATGTTAGAACATGTTAAATAAACACGATTTGCACAAAAAATGTTTGGGCTTGAGCCATTTTTTTGGAATATAATTTTTTTAGTCAGAACGCCATGTAACGCCACAATAATCCTAAAAAAAGTATATTCCGGACCCGCTAGAGCAACGACTATCATGGTCTATTAGAACACTTGAGTTTACGGGATATCAGTGAAAAAATTTTGAGCATAAAGCGATTTGAAAAATGACAGGGTTTGATCGAAAGTGCGGATGAGGGTGTTCCGGACCCCCCCCTTGGAGAAACGGGCTTGGTGGGATGTTAGGACATGTTAAATAAACACGATTGGCACAAAAAAATTTTGGTCGTAAGCCAATTTTTTTAAATATAGTTTTTTTAGTCAGAAACGCCATGTACAACCCACCCTAACCCTAAAAAGTATGATCGGACCCCGCTCGAGCAAACAACTATCATGAGCTATTAGAACACGTTAAGTTGACCAGATATCCGCGAAAAAAATTTTGAGCGTTAGCCAATTTTTTTGAAACATAGTGTTACGCCAATGGTCATTTGGCGCGCGCGCCACTGGTACCAGCCACGACCACTGCGCAAGCGCTGCCTGACAGTTTTTGAATCCAGCCAATGGGGACGGAGACACCAGGAGATCGAAGCGCCGCGACCAACATTGAGGTGTCGAGCTGTCGAGATAGAACGCATCAACAGGTTTGAAGAAATTTGTATTGTCACTCATTTACCAAATCAAATACAGTCCACTTTTGTAAACTCAAATAAACCTACCACCAGACTGGAACGGATGTGTCCTTGCCGCACATAACATTTGATCCTACGAGCCGGATCGAAGTCAGAAACTCCTGAAATCGCCCTGGCCGGCCTGAAGCACAGCGACCACGGGACCTACAAGCCGCCATCATTGGGAATCGCCATCGAAGATCGTCACACTCACACAAAGGTTGGTGCGTTCCATATCTCAAATTCCTGTCGTTTTTCCTTGAGCTCACACATTGTCGCTTAAAAATTCTCGTATTTCATATTGTTTCGTTATTTCTGGAGCACTCAAATTTTCGCATTTGTCGCTAACGTTAAATTGTGTCGTTACGGCTTCGTTACCTACCTGAATTTACCCTCATTCTCGTTCTCGCTCACTCACGCATAATGCCTAATGGTAATGCTAAAAAACTTGCATCCATAAAGGGTACTCTTACTCGATTTCATAATTATTTCGATACCATCAGTCAAAAATCTAATCCAGATATCACAGAACTGGAATGTAGACTAGCTTCTGTCGAATTGCTGTTAGACAATTTTAACAAAATTCAAGAAAAAATCGAAGATTCAGATGGAAATTTTGAGGAAAATTTTGAATCAGTTCATTCAGTAGCGCGTGCTGAATTTGAAAATGCCTTTTACGAAATTACATCAAAAACTAAGCAATTTTTGAACGATCATCGCCCATCGCTAGGAAACAATGCGGCTTTACATTCCCCTCCACAATTTGTACAGCCAGATTTGCAGGCTATCAAGCTTCCGGCCTTGAATATCCCACATTTTGATGGATCATACGATCAGTGGCTATTTTTCCGAGATACCTTTCGCTCTTTAATCCATAACAATGATGCCCTAAGCCCCATACAAAAGTTTCATTATCTGAGATTGTCACTAAAAGGTAGCGCCTCAGACACAATCAAGTCTCTCGAAATCTCAAATCAAAATTATAATGTAGCTTGGGACTTACTGGAGGAACGCTTCGAAAATAAGCAACTTTTAGTCAACAATCATATAAAAGCACTTTTTGACATACCTAACATCCAACGAGAAGGCTATGCTAACCTACGGGACTTAGTAGACAGCCTACAGAAACACTTGCGAGCTTTGGAGGTTTGAAACTACCTGTCTCGCACTGGGACTCGATACTCATATACCTTATTTCCTCCAAGCTAGATAACGCTACTCGCCGCGAATGGGAAATGCGGAGCAAAACGCAAGAACTTCCTACCATGACGGAATTTTCAGAATTTCTAAAAAACAAGTGTCGAAATCTGGAATCTTTCGAAATGAACCATGATAAAGCGAGACAAAATCAATCGTTCAATAAGCACGTCAAGCCCAAGGCATTTGTAGCTACACACAACGAAAATACGTCATGCGCGTTTTGTAAAAGGGATCATTCAATCTATATGTGCCAAGAGTTTATTCGCTTACCCCCCACAGAGCGTTTTAATGAAACAAGGCGCCTCAATCTTTGTATCAACTGTCTGAGATTCGGACACAACGTGAATAATTGCAAGTCCATGTTCTGTAAATACTGCAGAAAGCCTCATCATACTTTACTGCACTTTCCTAGCAAACCTGAAGCTCGACGACACGACGCGCCTCCTTCGCCGCCTGCCGTTCGGCGTCAGTACAATGGGCGTCATAACGCAGCCGCCGTTGCCGCTGATGCGCCCACGCCATCCACAGCCACAGCTGAGCGCGGTGCCGCGAGCCAGCCCGGAGAACGCATTGCCTTCGAACGCGACGTTGCCGATGTGAACCGGCCAGCCAGAAATCTAGCGAGAAATAATAACATTGTTTCTTTATCTTCCAATCACTCTTATGCAAACAAATCGTCTCAGATCTTACTATCTACGGCTATTGTTGATGCTTCAGATGCATTTGGTAACACACATGAATGTAGAGTCTTACTAGACAGTGGATCTACTAATCATTTCATATCTCAAAATTTATGCGAGATCTTACAGTTGCAAAAATCCAAAATTAACCTTGATATATCTGGAATTGGTCAATCAGATACCAAGGTCTCACACAGAACATTTGTCAAAATCCGATCCAAATTTAGCGGTTTTCACATTACTTTATCGTGTTTGATTCTACCTTCTATCACTGGAAACGTGCCAGATGTTGGTTTTGACAAAAGCTCTCTAAGCTTACCGCATAATATTACTCTTGCAGACCCTAACTTTTTTAAAGCTAGCCATATTGATCTCCTTATAGGAGCAGACTTATTTTGGGATCTTATATCCATTGGGCAGATCAAGCTCGGACGCGATCAGCCAATCCTTCAAAAGACAAAATTAGGCTGGATAATATCAGGCCCTGTACCAGCCTCACCATGCCAACCTCGTGTCGTTTGTAACCTCAGCGTAGACAATTTAGACAAAACCCTAACAAGGTTTTGGGAAATAGAGGAGATTCCTAGCAAAAAATTTCTTTCTGAAGACGAAGAAATGTGCGAACAAAACTTCAAGGAAACAGTTCAAGACATCGACGGCCATTTTGTAGTTGCCATCCCCTTGAAACTTCCCGAGTCAAGCCTCGGCGAATCTAAATCTCTAGCAGAAAAACGATTTGTTAATCTTGAACAGAAACTCGAACGAAATCTTACTTTGAAGTATCAATATCACGCATTCATCCGCGAATATATCGATCTCGGGCACATGTCATTGTGCCGAAATCAAGACAACACTGGGTTTTTCATGCCGCATCATTGTGTCATGAAAAATGATAGTACTACGACTAAACTAAGGGTAGTTTTTGACGGGTCCGCCAAGTCCACCTCGGGATATTCGGTCAACGACATTATGATGATCGGCCCTACTATCCAAAATGATCTTTTCTCGATCCTACTTCGTTTTCGGAAGCACAATATTGTTCTTGGTGCCGACATCGCCAAAATGTATCGGCAGGTACTGGCTCGAGAAGATCAGCGCCATCTGCAAAAGATTTTATGGCGGTCCGATCGGAACAAAGACTTGCAATCATTTGAACTTAACACTGTCACGTACGGAACAGCCTCGGCAGCATTTCTTGCGATTCGTTCGCTACATGAAGTAGCTCGGATTCATAAGACAGCTTATCCTTCAACTTGTCGTGTAATTATTGAAGACTTCTACGTAGATGACCTTCTCACGGGCACAGAGACGGTGGATCAGGCTTTGACCTTGAAGGCAGAGCTTACAGATTTACTCAACCAACATGGTTTCCCTTTGAGAAAATGGTCCTCAAACCACAAAGATATTCTCGCAAATTCTGAGACTATACAAATCGGTGCAGATCAGCAAAACAAAACTTTGGGCATATTTTGGAATGCGACGCTGGACCTTTTCACTTATTGTATAGCTGAGACTAGTGCCTCTCAAAAAATCACAAAGCGTCACATCTTATCATGTATAGCGCAAATCTTCGACCCATTAGGTCTCCTATCGCCGGTCACTATCACCTCCAAGCTAATAATGCAAGACTTGTGGAAACTCAAAGTTTCATGGGATGAAAGCATTCCCTCTCAGCTTTATACAACGTGGCTTGATTATAGATCAAAGCTCTCTGAATTGAACACTGTTCAATTTCTTAGACACGTGATATGTCACAATCCAATTTCTATCGAACTTCATGGATTTTCAGATGCTTCTGAAAAGGCATACGGAGCAGTTGTGTATATTCGATCCGTAGACTTTCAAGGAAATTGTCATACCAAGATTCTCTGTGCAAAAACTAGGGTAGCTCCACTTAAGCAGGTTACTATTCCCAGGCTCGAGCTATGCGCAGCTCTTCTCCTTGTCAAACTCGTATCAACTGTCAAAGAATCCATGAAGCTGAATTTCGATCAAATCTGTTACTGGTGTGACTCGAAAATTGTATTATGCTGGTTGAAATTATCACCTCATCTTCTTAAAATGTTTGTTGCGAACAGAGTTTCTCAAATTCAAGCTTTATCTGATCCTGTTTCCTGGAACTATATCCATACAAGTGATAACCCAGCAGATTTGTTGTCGCGCGGGATATCTCCGTCAGATTTTCTAACCTGCAATCTTTGGTTTCATGGTCCTATTTCGCTGTCACGGGAACAGTCGAATTGGCCCCATTTTAAAGATAGCCCAATAAACGATAGCTTTGATCTCCTTGAACGCAAGGAAAAGATCACTTCATTATTCTCGACAACAGAAAATCATCTCTCTTCTGTAATTATCAAGTTCTCTTCGTTCTCTAAGTTGCTTCGGGTGTTTGGCTATATCAGCAGGTTCAAACTCAAGACTCTGTCAAAGGAGCATCAGCTAACTGGCCCCTTGACACCTATTGAACTCGATAATGCTCTAACATACCTTATAAGGATAGTTCAAAGATCTTCTTTTCCTATCGATCTTCAACAGCTAACCCAGGACGGAAGAGTTTGCTCTAAAAGCAGTCTTCTTAGTTTATCTCCCTTTGTTGACTCGCATGGACTTATTCGTGTTGGCGGTCGTCTGCAAATATCTGATTATCCTTATGATAAAAAACATCCATACGCCCTACCCCAAAATAATCATTTCTCCGTGATTATCGCTCGTCATGAACATCAACGTTTAAAACATATCGGATGTCAGGGTCTTCTAGCATCTATTAGAGAAAAATTTTGGCCTATCGGCGGCAAAAGGCTTGTGCGAAAAATTATTCGGGAATGTATCTCTTGTTTTCGCTTTAGCCTTAATCAAGAAAGATACTTGATGGGAAGTTTGCCGAAATCTCGAGTCACTCCTGGGCGACCATTCCTATCTGTAGGAATCGACTTTGCCGGTCCATTCACTATTAAGCTCAGCCAGACGCGTAACTCCAAGTTATCCAAGGCTTACATTGCTTTATTTGTTTGTCTCGCAGTTAAGGCAATTCACATTGAAATCGTTAGTGACCTCACAACTGAATGTTTCCTCGCTGCTTTCAGAAGATTTACTTCTCGCAGAGGTTTTTGCTCTCACGTAATCTCAGACAATGGAACAACGTTCGTGGGTGCTAGTAAAGAACTAAAACAATTCATTTTACAGCGGACTGATGCCATTTCGGAAAAATTAGCCATTGATGGTATTAAATGGACATTCATACCACCTAGATCACCTCACTTTGGGGGGCTATGGGAAGCCGCAGTCAAAACGCTAAAGCATCATTTAAAACGATCTGTCGGTGAAACGCTATTAACTTTTGAAGAGTTCTATACGGTATTGACTCAAATTGAAGCATGTGTGAACTCTCGACCTCTTTACCCTTTATCAGACCCTTCTCCTCTCACACCCGCACACTTCATCATCGGCGAATCATTAATGGCTACACCAGACAAAGATTGGTTAACCGTTCCTGGAAACCAATTATCTCGTTTCGAACGACCTGCAGAAAATGACGCAGCACTTCTGGGCCAGGTGGTCCAAAGAATATGTCTCACATCAGCAGCATCGCACCAAGTGGAAGGAGAACTTCATTCAAAGACTCAAGATCGGCACTCTGGTGCTAGTTAAAGAAGACGGACTCCCTCCATTGAAATGGAGAATCGGCAGAATAACTGAACTCCATCCCGGACCAGACCACATCACTCGAACTGTTACCTTAAGAACTTCAACTGGAGAGTACAAAAGGCCAGTAGTCAAGCTTTGTGCTCTTCCACTTCCAGACGA